CACATATACACACACACATATATATACACACACACACATACACACACACATATACACACACACACATATACACACACACATATACACACACATACACACACACATACACACACACATATACACACACACATACACACACACAAAATAAATAAATCACACAAAAACAGAGACACAGATTAACTGTATGTAACATTACCCAAAATTCTTAATAACATCCACCCGAGGCATAGATGCCGGTTTCTTTGACGGTGAAGCATAACAAGAGTTTACAAACACTTGCTCATTTTTGGCTATAAAATTTGTGCTGGCCTCAAAGTATATAGGTTCACCAAGTACAAATCCTTCATTTGCCAGAGGACTCTCCCAACGTGCTGTGGAAAGGAAGGCGGGGGTGGGGAGGAATCATTAAAAACTTCCAGCTGCAACTTCCAATTATACCAAACAATTAGAGAAACAGCACAATTACCATTGTAAGCAATGAGCTTAAATGTACGCTTGCTCTTAAGACTCTTGAAGAGGGTGCTTTTGTTTACCTCAGGTAAGTAACCAACCTTGTAAGTGTAGTGAAACCTGAGAAAGAGACAACAATTATCACCCATGTCCTGTTAGATGCTGGAAAAGCCATGCATGATGTACCTGTTGTAGTGGCACTGTATGGACAGTGAAAGTGGCTGAGCTCTCATAACTGGTCCATCAACTTCAGGGCTATAACGGAGCATGTTTGAATACACCAGGTGCCCATTCATTGTCTGGAAATAAAGTTTCAGTCTGTACATGCTGTAACAGTAACTAAACAAAAATTCAAGTAGTACAATCTCACCATTCGCTTAGTTCCACACTGATTAAGGCTGTATTGGAAGTAATGGTAGTTTTTAGTAGATTGAGTAACACCACAAGTTCCCAGGTATATCATGGATGACACAGACCTAAAGCCTAGCAATTGCTTATTCACACGCACTGAGAGCTTGTTGGAACCACACCACACCTCTACTCCTTTTGGGTTCTGGACAGGAGCCATTGAACCATGCCACAAATTAAATGGAGGAACCAGAAGACGTGTTATACTGCTAGGTATAGGTCTTCTGCCAACAACAGGCCTGAGGAGCTCTACATCTAAAAGAGGAGCCTCTGCTTGCAGAAACACAGGAAGAAAGTGATAGGACCACAATCTGGGCAGGGTGCCATTAGTCTCATTGTCCCATGATCCTGGCCTGAGCACCTCAACTGCTGGCACTTTCTCTAAGAGCTGCTGCTCCATGGAAAGGTCACTGTGATTTGGACTACCACTGCCATACACACCTACTCTGGCCTCAACCAACTGGGGTGCACATAAAAAGAGAATAAAACAACATGCTACTGTGCAAAACAGCAACATATTCACACCACCATAAGCCAAAGACTAGACAACCAATGTCCCTAACCAACCTATCGCCATTAAGTATTTCCAAACACATCACAAAAAACCTATTAATATCTGACACAGGTGCATCTCAATTTACTATACAATTACAATCACCTGGTGTCGGAAAACGCTAAATTTATTTAGTTCGAACTACTGTATTTAACCGAATGAAATAAGTAATTACCGCCGCAATGTCTTTGCATGGGTCAGTATAAGCAGAAATACTCCGCTGTTCACGCGTTGCAATTTATATATGGACTTTAGATTTGTTCTTTATTTATTACAATGACTTCATGTAAAGAAACTCCATTAGTATAAGCGGAACATGAAACCATTATATTTCAAAGGGGGAAAAACTAATGAAAAAAACTCTCCAATTATCAAAAAAAAACATAAAATAACTACTTCAAAGGAGGACACAATAACCGAGTTCTTATGATTGCGTTAGCCAGGGTTCTCCAAGAGGGTGTTTTTCGTATGTCGCGTAACACATCCAAGATTAGAGGACTTATCTCGGATCTTCTAATTGTGGATACGATGCTATTTCGGTTCTCCAAATCACAACAGAATTGGATTAGAAAGGTGAATTTAATCATCTGAGATAATTGCGCACTCCAGCGGCCATTGACTAGGCTACATATACAGACACTCAAAACCATGGTCGGCTGCCTAAAACTGCAAAAGCGCAATGCTTCATCCCAGCAAATGATACGCACCATAGGAAACACAGCGTACCAAACAAACGCGGCCAAAACATGACGACGACTAGCAAAAAGTAACAAGTACTTGTTAATAAAGATAGTAATATTCATTTTAAGAGATGTTAAATCATTTATTGAGTCAACCTTTCTCTGCAATACATTCACCACCTTCATCTCCCGCATCGAAAACTCTGCGCCCTCAAAAAAAAAAAAATACTGTAACCGGCCGCGTTTACATGTCCCGGCATGCCCCGCGTGTAATTTTAAATAGCCTTTATATTGTTATAGTTTAGCTGCATTCTCTATTGTGGCGCCTGTGTTGCCCGTGTCTTATGTGCACCCTGTACGATCCTCGCGTGTTTCTAGTGTTGTATAAATTACCCACCGTGAGTGTCCCTGACGGTCCAACGTTTGATTACCTTGTGTTTCCGTTAATGTGCTGGTAAAATGTGGGTTATATGCCTGTATAGAACTGTACGTTAAGGAACGTGTTTTATGTTCTTGTTCTTTGCTGCTCTCGAGATGTCTCAGTTCGCCTGGGATCTGGGATGTGATCCGATTGGTACAGGTTAGTCATGTTAAGCTTGACACCGAAACTCTGAGGCATGTGTCAAAAAAAAACGATACAGTGCGTTCTGAAGCAGACCTTCGATGCTTCTTCCGTTCTACCCTAAACACGTGACCATGGTGAGCCGAAGCTTCGTTCTGCGCTCAACCACGTGACTACTTCAGAAACGTGAAAATGAGGCGCGAACCTCAGTGACCCCAATATACCACATACTGAAGACCCTTTGAGGTTCTGGGATATGCACCAGGCTGTGTATCCACACTTATATGAACTTGCAGTAAAGTTTTTATGCACTCCAGCGTTCACATGAATGGGTTCCATGTGAGCGGGTATTCTCCAAAGCAGGAGAAGTGGTGAATAAAAAACGTAACCAACTTAGCCCCCGCACTGTTGAAC